TGGGTAGTGTGTCACATGTGGAAGAAGAGAAAAGGGAGTTAGCCCGTGATGTACATAGGCTAGCCTGGTTGGGTGTCCGACTTGAAGATTTCCCAAAAGGAGGTGTTATGGTCCGTCATAATTCCAAGTCATCAGTTGTTGTTGACGTGAAGTCTAAGCAACATCTTGACCATATATTGATAGAACTAAAATAGTCGGTTCTCAACAAAGCAATAGAAACTTTCTCTCAAGGAGAAGATGGGGTGCTTAGGCACCAAGGAAGATTGTGTGTGCCGGATGTGGATGGTCTAAGAGAGACAATCGTAGAGGAGGCCCATGGGTCCCGATACTCCATCCATCCGGGAGCCACCAAAGTGTATCGCGAGTTACGTGAGATCTATTGGTGGAACGAAATGAAAAGAGACATAGCAGATTTTGTGGCTAGGTGCTCAAATTGCCAACAAGTCAAAGCCAAGCACCAAGGACCGGGAGGTCTAACTCAAGATATTGACACCCCCACTTGGAAGTGGGAAGAGATCAATATGGACTTCGTGGTAGGTTTGCCTCGAACCAGTAGGCAACATAATTCCATTTAGGTCATTGTGGATAGATTGACCAAATCAGTCCATTTCCTTCCCATCAAGGTTTCTTATTCGACAGAAGATTATGCTAAGTTGTACATTAAGGAGATTGTGAAATTGCATGGGGCCCCATTGTCGATTATTTCGGATAGAGGTGCCCAATTTACTTCCCATTTTTGAAAGCCTTTCCAAAGTGGGCTTGGTACTCAAGTGAAACTTAGTACCTCATTTCACCCTCAAACGGATGGTCAAGCGGAACGCACCATCCAAACCCTAGAGGACATGTTGAGAGCCTGTGTCATTGAGTTCAAAGGTAATTGGGATGACCACCTACCTTTAATAGAATTTTCGTACAACAATAACTACCACTCAAGTATTGTTATGGCACCCTTTCAAGCACTTTATGGTAAAAGGTGTCGATCTCCGGTTGGGTGGTTTGAAGCAGGTGAATTTTCTCTTCTTGATCCCGAGGTAGTCTATGAGGCTACGAAAAAAGTTTGACTTATTAAGGATAAGTTCAAAATGGCTCATAGTCGACAAAGGTCTTATGCCGATAATAGAAAGAGAGATCTTGAATTTGAAGTAGATGATTGGGTCCACTTGAAGATCTCACCCATGAAAGGGGTGATGAGGTTTGGTAAGAAGGGGAAACTTATCCCCCGGTATGTTGGGCCTTATGAGATCTTGAAGCGTGTCGGAAAGGTCGCTTATGAGTTGAAATTACTCATCGAGTTGGCCCTGGTTCACCCAGTGTTCCATATTTCTATATTAAAGAAGTTTATAGGTGACCCGTTGTCCATTCTCCCTCTAGAAGGTTTATGGGTGAATGAGAACCTTTATTATGAAGAGGTTCCAGTTGAAATCCTAGATCGTCAAGTTAAGAAGTTGAGGAATAAAGAGGTTTCCCCCGTAAAAGTCCTATGGAGAAACCACCTAGTTGAGGGTGCAACATGGGAGGCCGAGGCTGACATGAAGTCCCGCTACCCTCATCTTTTTCCTCCTACTCCTAGCCATAGTTGAGGTTAGTAGTCTCTCTTATTTGGTATAAATTAAAAAATCTTGTGTGTTGATGATTATGACATGAATTCCTTGTATGTGCATATTTTTGTGAAAATTCATGCTTAAAGTTGTATTTTGAGTTTTCATGAATTTTGTTTCTCATGATTGAAATTACACCCATAGATGTTGTGTGATGTTGTCTTCATGAGAGTTGTAATGAGCATGCTTGATGTTGTCTTGCTAAAGTAATGTCTTGTTGATTGCTTAACATATATGTTGATCCTCATGGAATATGGAGAAGGTAGTTCCTCCTATACTTATGTGAAGTAAAGAGTTTAGAGCATAGTGATGTTGTGGAATAAATCCCTATATGATATGATGATATGATGTTGTTGATGTGACTGGTTATTGTGCTGCTAGTTTGATTCATTGTCTCCCTAGAAAGAAGTTCAGGTGACATTCGGGGACGAATGTTCCTAAGGGGGGATATTGTAACACCCCAGAAATTCTATGACTTAAGTTTGAGCCTCACCTTATTAATAATGACTTAAAAATAGTCAAAATGATGTTTATAAACCTAAACTAATGTAATTGACTTGGTTTGGAAGAGTAAAAGTCTAAATGTCAAGAAACGACCACGATGTCCGGAAACTAGAGAAGAATGTGTTCTAGTGTGTCCTTAGGTGTTTGGGCAGGTTTGGGAGTATCGTATGATGGTATCATCTGGTTAAAAGGTTTAAAATAGGTAAATATATGTTTCTAGGGTCAAAACGTTCGAATACGACGCCCAGGGGGACCCTAAGGGGCCTCGAGGAGGACCCCAAACTTGGCCAAGCAAGAAGCCAAGGCAGCTTGCAAGTTGTGCATGGAGGGAATGACGGCGCGTCGCGCACTTGCTCCCCAAGGAGCAAACATTCAGTTCGCGACGCGATCCTGTCGCGGACTATATTGTCTCGAAATTTAATTCCAAATATCTTCAGGGAACAGCTCCGCGTCGCGGACTTGAACTGCGATGAAAATGCAGAAATTCATAAATCTATTTTTTACCTTATTAAAGAGTCAATTTTAGTGAGGGGTATTTAGGGTACTTTAGGGGACGTGTATATAATGATTTTTTAAAGTCAATTTACCTCACTTTTATCACTCAAACACAAAATCCCAAAGATCTAAACCTAAAGTTCCTCCTTCTCTCTACTCTCTCTCTCTCTTCTCAACAACTCCATTGAAGAAGATTGGAGCTTCAAGAAGAAGACCAACTCTCCAAGGTTTCAACTCAGATTTTCGTGGTTAATTTGTCAATAAGGTGTGGTAGCTTATCACTCTTGGGTTTCCTTTCCCCAAGAGGCCCCTTCAAGATGAACTTCAAAATCTCCAATTTCTAGGTTTCAATCCAAAAACATAGGTCTTCTTTCTAAAGTGAAATTGATGTTATAAACTGACTTTCATTGATGTTATATGAACTATTATGGATGAATTTATGTTGTATTGGTGGTTTCTTGAAGAATTCCTCATGAGGTTCATGTTTCTCCTTCTTTTCCTAATTCTAACCCTAGTTTGTGTTGGATATTGAATGAGGGCTATGAATTGAATGTAATGTTATGTAATTCATGTTTGTATGATGATTCTACCCTAGGTTATGTATATTTTCTATGAAATTAGGGTTGAGTCTTTTAATGAAGACTTGAAGGCTATGAAGGGAATTTGTCAATTGCTTATATTGATGTTGATTATGTTATTACTTCATGAATTACCTTGTATTATGTATTGGTTATGAATTGCTTGGTAATTGAAGTATGGATGTCCCACGAAGGGCAAGAAGGTATGAAGGTTGGTTCTTTGTTGAACTCCAATATGAAAGGTGAATTACTTATTATGTGTTATTGTGGTGTTGATGACCTAGTTTCCTCATCCTTAACCATCTACACTTGAATTAGCTATGAAGTAATATGTATATTATGTTATGATTGTTATATGATTGAAAGGTAGTTCGATTGTAATGTAATGTAAAGTGAAAGATTTACTCACTAGCCTAAAGTGAAAGGATTGTTACTCACTTATGAACACATATGAGCTATTATGGTAAGATGTGTACATAATAGTCTAGTAAAGGCTAATGTGAACTTATGCGATGACTAAAGATGAATACTAAAGGAAATTAAATGCTTAGCACCAAAACGGCATGTAAATGAGATGGGGGTTTCATGTCGCGTGAGTCCGGCTCCCCACATGGGTTTCCTCACGTTTAGCAAGTCAGTATTACCTACTGTATGTGTTGTCTCATGAGATGGAAACCCCCACGTTTAGTAAGTTAGGGTTTCTAGAAGCAATCTCCTTGACCCTTAACTATGTGCCCACATAGGACTCTAGCTTAGTGGATCCACCTAGATAGCTATGTAATAATGGTTACACCTTAGGCATGTGTTAACCCTCTCTTTTCGGTGTGGGAGTAGAACACTGGATTCCATGTAGCTCTCATGGTCTATGTCGGTTATTGTAATATTTCCCTAATGTAAAAGTAAATGAATGTATGAAAGGTGTGAACTCTTACTAGGGATTTCTTAAGGGTTTCTACATAGTGTAAGAGAGGGTATGGAATTCTCTTGTACATTGCACTTGTGGGATCCTAAGAGATGGTTGTAGTAGTGTTCTCTTATGATTATGATTATTATGACTTATGTATGTTGAAGCTATGTTATGTATGATCATTATGAATGTGGTAAGTCATGATGAAATATGATCTTATGAATGTATGCATGAAGTAGGTTGCTTAATGTGATACTTGGCTTTGAATAGGGTTATGGGGTTCTATTCTTTGCATTGCACTAGTATTGTTTGGGTTGTCTACATGTTGGGATGATATTATGTTGGTTTGGACTATGATACTTAATTATGTGCATATTGGATTTACTTGGCAAAAAGCATGTTTTGAATAAAATGTCCTTTTATGCATGTTTCAATGGTTTTTATGCATAGTAGCCATACTTAATACGTGTTGTGTACTAACCCATATTTTCTCCCTTTTCCCAAACATTTAGGTTCGGGCCGTTGAGGATTCAAGCTTACTTCTCAAGACACTTGGAGTTGCTTCCCCAAGTTGGTAAGTCCTCATGTCCGGGGACAAGACCCTATGATCTAGCTTCTATGTTTAGTTCTTTGCTTATGTTGAAAGACATTGTTGTACTTCCTATTTTCAAGACTTCTTATTGATGTAAGGGCTAAGTCCCATTTTCGATACTTCTATGTCTAGATGGTGCATTGTGACGAAGTTAGATTCTATTTTTCATGTATAAAGTGAAGTGAACTTCCAAAGTAAAAGATTTAAATTTTCCATGATTTTATTCTATGATACATGTTATGATGAATATTAAGGGCTTGTAGAAGACCTCTTTGAGGTCGAATACGCCAATAACGACTAGAGGGTGCTCTCGGGTCGTTACGCTCCTATTCCAAGACTTTTGTTTGCTTGTATCCGTCAAGCTTATTCATTTCCAACGAGATGATTAATCAAGCTCAATTAAAATAGAACAATGATGTAGGAGGCATCCCACTTTCACGCTGCAGGATTAGGATAAGACTGCACACCAAAGGGGTGTAATGTATGTAGTCTACCCTAACACAAATATCAGTGGTTGATTCCACGGTTTGAACATGTTATACGTAACATATTATGTTACTCAGACTCTTAAAAAATATCAATTGGTGCATCAAAAGTGAAGAGTCTGTGCAACTCATGACTCAGTAGTAACACAGAGACAACTTTATTGTTGTTCCAAGGCTTCACTCCATTATAAAGCACATAAATTATACATGAAAAATGCCCCAACCAGCTAGCGTTGAGGTTTACACTATCACCAAAAGAAACAAAGGAAATTTTAACAAGCCTTAGTCTCTATGCTTTCCAAGTGCAAGCCATGAACCCTTTTCTATTGTGATGAACATTCTAGGATACAACATCTAATACAACTAATTAAGTTGATGAATAATGAAATTTGTTATACCATATAAAAATATTAATCATACTTTACACTCCATATCTAATATAAGTCCTACCTAAATCCATTTGGCTAGTTTAGGCCTCCCGGTTGTGATATCATAGTTAAATCCCTCTGGCATAAAAATATGGAACCTTTCAATAAATGTAGCATATGTTATGTCAACTTAGCACAACAAAGTTTTCATATCAGCACAAACTCTCTATGAAATTTGAAATTCTTGGAAAAAAGTACACCCACAGTACTCGGTACTGCTTGTCGAGTATGTTTTTGGGAAAAACTACCATCTCACATGACACATAATCGGAGAGGAAGAGAAAATTAAAGATAGTAATGACCTGACTGAATTGACAGAGGAAGAAAGGCCCATCGTCAAATTTGTGGAGAGCTTTTTCTAGGTAATCAAATTGTGCACCCGGTACAAGTGTGAATACCATTAACTTACATAAGAAACATTTAACAAACAAAACATAATGTGTTTCAATGAACAAAAGCTCAAATCCCACCAGCCAGTGTCTGTGCATCATTTGCGAACGATCTGTATACTATTGGGACAAATATAATATCACTATAAGCTATTAATTCTTCAGCAAATTTTTGCTTTTCGGGGTCCTGTATTAATTTGCCAATATTTTATTTTTATCAATTTACTGCTTAAGATTTTCCTACACAGATAGGATAATAATGAAATTTTGCAGCTTACATCCGGCAAGAGTGATGGTCCTTCAACGTTACTATCAACATATTTAACCAAATCCAAACTCTCTCCCGTCGCTTTGTTATTGTCCTCCAGGGATGACACCTGTGAAGAGTAGAAAATATAAATAACCAGAAACATAAAATGAGATGCATACTCTCCCAAAGATTTAAACATTCACTTGCTTCAATCAGACGAATTTTAAGACTAGAGCATTTATGCACTAGCTCAGTCAATATTCATCGAATACAAAGAGGAAGAGAAATCCCTTTCCCAAAAATATATGGATATTTTCTTCAGGAGTTCTCATACAATTTACAACGAGGCCAAATGCCTTTGTCAAAATCTTAGCTCAAGATTTTCAAATACATGTGAATTGGGCAAGCGAAAATGAATGTTGGTATTCTGGAAAATTACCTTATATGTGGGGTAAACTTTTTCCTTGTACCAATCAGGCCTGTTCTGAAGATCAATTGGAACTAACTTGATCCTGTCTTGCAAACCCTGCAATCCAAAATATTAGAAAATTTATCTAGGCAAACAAGACCATTGCCAGGTATAAGAACACACAGACTGAATAATTCCAACAATAATAGAAATTACTTCCAAAATGAAATTAACAAAAGACTTCAATAAAATAAACAATTCTAAGTAGTAACATTTCCTTTCTGAGGTGGATAGAACTTTTGAACTATGGGTGCATCCAAATCAAATATTTTGGACATAGAATGTGTATATTTAAATGAAAGATCATCAAAATTTTAACGCATATTAAAATCCAAGAGAAGACCCAAAGCTATTTGTAGATAAGAATTGTATACGATTAGTTGAAGTATTATGTCTATTCGCGAGAATTTCTTCTCTCCGGTCGAGCAACAAAAAGCCCCTTGTAAAGGGTTCCAACCCTATCTGAATTCTAAGAAGTTGTTGCTTTTCATCAGTCGTTGCGCTTTAGCCTTTTCTCAACCTAGTAAAGGGGCTGCTTGTTGTAGTGCACAGTGTACTAGTAAATACGAAAATAAAATTGAGAACTACTCACTCTTTTTCATTTTATGTGACAGTATTTGACTGGACATGAAATTTGGAAAAGAAAAATGATTTTAACCTATATCAAAAGTATCTTTCGACTTTCGATCTTACACATGTCATGACAGTTTTAGAGCTTTAAAGATATGCAATTACGAGTAAAATGGTAATTTCTAGGTTAGAGAGTCTCCAAATATAGAAAGTTGTCCTTGTTTTTAGAACAAACTGCAAAGAGAAAAGCTAGATAAAGTAGAATGGAGGAAGTGGTAGAAGGGTGAACCTTAAAATTCCTGGTAATCCACACACGTTGAGAATAGGGGCCTTGATAATTGATATACAACCTTTAGAAAACGCAATCGAGTCAGATAACAATCTTCAGTCGGAGAAATAATATCGTAATGATGACAAACACCACATTATTCATAAGGCAGACAAAAAACATATTTTCTTAAGGCAGACAAGAAAGAAATTAAGAGAAAATATTTAATTAAACCTGGTAGTTCCATCAAAGAGTGATAGGCGGTAGAAGTTCTTGTACACTTCTGTGCAAATAAAAGAATAACCCCATGAACATCCATATCAAAAGCAAACTGAAAAAAAAACAATTTGCATACAACATACATATACAACCATTACTTAATCAAAAATTTAAAATCAGTGGTGTTGTTGTATCACATACTGATGAGTCCACAAATTGGACTCATTTAGGGCTTTATTTTGATAAGAATAGTGTCCTCGAATGCTTATTTTGTTTAAATATCCGATGAAAAGTCTTAAGTTTTAGGTATTTGAAGTTTTAGTGAAAGCATAGACACTTAGGCGGAAAAAGGAACAAAAAGGCTAAAAAGAACGATGAAGGTCAAGCCCGAGCATCGCCAAGCACACTTGGCGATTCACCGAAGGGATTTACTCCACCCTTTGTTCTAGTACGCGAAGCCCTGAAGGAGAAGGATAAAAAAAGAGATGAAAGGAGCAGTCGGCTCTTCGCCGAATAGTACCGGGAAGTAGTACTATACTGCCCAATGGTCCAGAACGTGAAGGTGCTAAAGGTAAGCACGAAACGGCGATGAGACAGACGTAGGGCGAATCGCAGAAGTCGTTAGGCGACATCGACTAACTTTTCCGAAAGATCTGCCAACACTATTTTCTGAAGTCTATAAGTATTGAACTTATTATTATTTTTAAGGGTGGAACTTTTATTTTTAATTTCCAAAATAGAATTGTACTTTTTAGATATTTTCTCTCAAGTTTGGAGAGGGTTTTTGGGAACTTGAAGAAAGTAGTTCATCTTCCCCAAGTTGGAAGTGAGTCTTCTTTATTCTTCTTCCTTTGCTTAAATTAAGGTTTAATTTCTTATACCCATTTGATTTTACTATCATTTTAGGTGTAATTTGTTATTTCTTGATGTGTGGCTAAAAACCCCATTCTTAGGGTGCGATTTAGCAAATATGTGTTGATATTATTGTTGGGTCTTGCTTGCTGATAGGGTAGATGTAGTTTAATGGTGATTTCACCTACTGGTTGGGGTTCAATCTAAATGGTTTGTAGTTGCAAATACAAAGCCACTCATGTGTTTTCAGCTTGCCCGAGAGGGAGGTCGCGAAACCAAGACCACTAGACTGATGGTCTAAAGAGTGGGTCAACATGAGGTTCCGCCCGAGCGGGTGAGCCCTAGTCCCATATCCTAACACTCAGCTTGAGAGAGTGAGTGGGGTAAGGGGTACATCGTCTTCATGCGACAAATGGGTGTCCGAGAGGAACGCATTTGAAACGGGGTAAGTTGCCTGAGAGGGAACTTATTTCCATTTAAAGCTTAGCCTAGTCACTATTATCTTACAAATTTCTGGTCAAAAGCATGTACCCAACTATTTATCTCAACTTGTATTGCGGTCACACCCCAAGAATTTCCCCATACTTGATTTTCTTGTTAATTTTTGCTGTTTTTACTACTTGTAACAAAACCCCAAAATCGATATTTGACACTTTCGTATCAACCCTTTTATTTACTATGTTTTTATTCGATAACGTCTTTAGCTATGACTAGTTAGAGCTAAATTTTATTTTTCTATCAATTTTCAAAACCACTCCCTTGGGACACGACCCCAACTTTTAGTTGGGTTACTATACTATCGATGATCGTAGACATTCATACCGTAGGTTAGTGTCATTGGTCACGATAAGCATCACATACATACACAAACCCTAAGCCCTACCTCTTGCTTCATCATTTTTTTTCCTTTTATTAAATGGCAAATCAACTAGTTTCATGAGATACCTCCCACCACCTTCAACAACAACAAGTACCAGGTAACACTTCATCTTCTTCTTTACATATAAAAGGTACTCAACTCAAATATCCTATGGATAAAGAAATGAACTTTGTAGCTAACTCAACTCCTCAGAAGACCATTGATTAATAAATCACTCAACACTAAAGCTGGGAATCTAAAACATGGACAATTTCATATGGAATCCAATATAAGGACTTGTTCACTAATTATGCCGGTTCACCAAGACCTCTTTCCTCTCCCTTCTCTACTAGCTCGTTGGGGTCGGACCCCCACAAGGGGAATTTTATATGGCAACCACTATCTGTTGTGGCACTTATCTTGTATCATGCTATTTTGTTGTTTTATTTTTCATAAAATCTTGCTTTAGATACTTTTCTTTTGAGTCTAGAGTCTATAGGAAATAACCCTCACTACCCTACCCAACATTTGAAACAACAAATGGACCTCGAACATAGCTCAATCTCTTAATCGGTACCTCCGTAAATGATTAATGTTAATTACTAACCATTTTGAATAAATTAAACACATTTGATGAACAATTAACAAAAAATTAAGCAAATGATGGCTTACGGGGAAGCCATTGATGCTGAATTTTTCTGGAATGGAAGAAGACTCGGAAGATTCTGGATATGTGAAGCGATGAAAACAATAATTTTGGGAGGTTTTATAGGAAGAAGTACAAGTTGTGTGAGCAACATAGTGACGAAGTGAAGGGCTCATTTGCTATTAAATACTATTCAATGTCTAATACATTTTCCAGAACATTAAATTTAATATACTCAAAGGGCACTATAGTAATTACCCCTATTATTAATTATTTCTAAAGGTGTGTGTTAAATCAATAGTGGACAACTATTGTTAGCCAGATGGAGTATTTCATAATTTTAATTTTTATCCCAATAAGATATAAGTCAAATTCATCCTAAAATTTGTATCAAAATTAATTATTTCTTATAATATTACAAAACAATAAACTGAATCAAATTTTTCATCAGTCTGAAAGTTGACCAATTTTCGCATACTTTCTATAGGGTTTGTTTGGTAATTATATGGATTTTTTAAAGTTTACTGTTTTAGTTAAATTAAATTATTATATTTAGCAATTTAAAAAAAAACCTAAAAATGCTCGTGATCAATATTTAAAGGAAAAAAAATAAATCTACTTTAACTAAATACACAATAATTTTGGCTATCAATTCACAAAATTACGAGAAAATGAAGGAAATTTTTAATGTATGTGTAAGGTCCATAGTAGAAAAATGGAAATAAACTTCATCGACCACGTACAATTTATGAATTCCATACAGTTAGTACCACATGCAATTTATGAATTCCATACAATTAGTTGTCTATTTATTTGCATTCAAAAGAGCAACATTGTTTTTATAATTAATAAGAATATGGAAAATTAAATGATGCATATTGTAACACCTTAGGAACCAAGCAGACAGAACTACAGAAACTTGGGTGAACCACAGAGGGGTTCATAGACCATGAAAGGGACCACGGTCCGTCGACCTGCTCGTGGTTCACATCCAGCCAGCGTGGTAGACCAATGTGCCCACCACGGGGAGTGGTCCCACTATCGAGCCGTGGATTGGCCCATCAAGTCAAGCCAGCAGACCCCCTAGCCCAAGTGAAGAACCACGGTGGGCTTCACGGTCTGTGGTCCTTCACATGGTCCGTGAAGTGGACCGTAGAGGGGAGTACTCAGAACCAGTAAGAACAGGCCAGCAACCACGACCTACTCGACGGACCGTGGTTCCATCAATTGTCCGTTAGTGGCTCCGTGGGTGGGCCTCGTCAGCTTTTAAGTCAGGGTAGTTTTGGTCTTTTCGTGTATGCATAGAGCCTCTAAACTACTTTATTTAACATCTAAACTACTTCGTTTTACTCTAATAATCTAGTCAGAACCTACTCAAAGCTTTCATTCTCCAAAAATCATCCAAGTTAGATCTAACAGATGAGAAAGAGGCGACAATTTCTTTCAAGAACAAGCAGCATTGTTCTTCAAGCTTCAACCCCGAAATGCAAAAGATTTCTCCGTTGTTTTCGTCAGTTGGTATGTGGGATTTCACTAGAGGGTTCCTTTCATCAACTAGGTCCCTAGAATAAATCCAGTTCCTTGATTCTATATAGCTTATTTACACCTATGGTTTCTAAAACATTGGAGAATTGTTGGGATTTAGCTGTTATAGTATTCTTAATAGAAATATCATGTTTCCTTGGGAAGGTTGTTTAATTCCTTGTACCAAACTCAGAACCCTAGTTTGTGTAGATTCCCTTAATTCATGAATTACACTTGCTAGGTCAATTTAGAAGATAATCATGCTCCAAATTTTGAATGTCACATTATCAGTATATTAATGTTGAATTCTCAGATTGCATGTCAATATTTTGAGCTATTCAGTATTTCAGTTACATTTCAACCATATACATATTCGGTTGGGAGTAGACTTAGCACCAAGTTGGACTAGGGTTTAGCAGACCCTCATTGTCCAAGAACTACATACCCCCGTAAGAGTATAACTCTCCTCTTTTGGGCATCAAATTTAGTGATCATGTCAGTCATGCCTTTTAACCCCTAGCAAGGTATATTTGGGTCCTCTCAATATGGTGTATACATCGGACTCCACGTTTAGATCACGTGGTTTATGTCGGTTAATAGTAGCTTTCACAGTCAGACTCTTTGGGCATTTGACCAGGTTTTCAGTATATACTTTAGCATTTAAGTTCAGTATATACTTGGTCATTGCATTCAATTTAGCTTTTCAGTTATATTTCAGTATTTACATTCTTGCTCAGTTTACTTCAGTGCTCAGTTATGCTTTGTTCAACTTATATATATTTGTTCAACTTAATATTTATATCCTGCACGATCAGTACATTCAAAGTACTGACGCATACTCTGCGCTACATCAGTTTATGATGTAGGTTTACGTACTCAGCATCCAGATCACACTTAGATCAATTCTCAGTTCGCATTCAAAAGCGTCAGTGGTGAGTCCTCATTTTCGAGGACAATAGACATGCTTTTATTTTAGTCTTCGCTTTCAGTTTTAAAATTGTTTAGAGTTTGGTGGGGACATGTATTAACAACTCAACTCATTTACAGGATTTTCAGACATAGTAGTAGATTCAGCTTGAGTTGTTAAGTGGTGTTTCAATTATCCACTATTTTATCTTCTGCATAGTGTATGTCTAATTCTATTTTTCTCAGTATGCTTGATATATGATAGACACAGGATTAACTTGGGGTCACTCGTGATACTAGGTGCCATGTAAAGTCAAGGGGGTAGCCTTAGGGCACGACAAACTTTGTGGTAGAGCTATGTTCAAGAGTCCTAGGGTGACTGAAAGCCGCACTAGGTAGAGTCTCTTTCATGGGTGTGAAGCACGAGACATCTATGAGGGGGAGGCTACAAAGTGTTTTATTAAAAACTTCACTATCTTTGCTTTTGTTATCGTGCGTGAGTTATGATTCAACTTCTTCTTTCTAATCTGTCGTTATGTATTTTAGATCATGCCTTCTTGTAGAGCCAACACACGGTATCCTAATGCACGGAATGCTAACGCAGTTCCTCTAGTCCCGAACCATGAGGTTATGAATGCAGAATTTTGTAATGCGATCCAACTTTTGGCTCAGACTGTGGCCAATCAGTACAATCAACATGCCATAGTTTCTACAAAAACTAATGATGGATCATCTGCAGCTAGGGTTCGAGACTTTGTTTGGATGAATCTGCCATAGTTCTAGAGTCGAAGGTTGGTGAGGACCCACAGAACTTCAGTGATGAAATCAAGAAGATCCTAGAGGTA